TTGTACTTGTTTGCTGTGCTTATTTTGCACAAAAAAATACCTTTGTCAATCCAATGTGGAAAAGAGTTAAGCGGAGCAGCGCAAAGGCATTCTTTGTGACCTGCAAGGATGTTACTTGAAGCCAGCAGGGAACAGCAAACCCACCTTACACCCTACTTTTATTTCACAACCACCATCTTGAACCCTAATTTTAAAGGATGATCAGCACTAAGGTTTTTTTTCTGCTGTGCTCTCACCTCTTCCATACTGGCTGCCTCTGTTGTCATACAACCTCCCAGCTGCAACCTTTCTACCCAACAGGTTTAACTCTTCTTTTTAAGCAAGGTTGTGTGTTCACCATTCATCTGTTCAGCAATCAGACTGTCTGATTGCCTTTAGCAGTCGTGACTCTATTACATTCATTCCCCCTTTTGTTAGAAGCAGCAGATTGGCTTTAAAGTCTATAGAGCTGATGGAAAAAAAAGACAGCTTTTGTCTCCCTTCATGAAAAGGGATCCAAGTCCAAATCGGACCTAGCAGAAGAATTCAAGTATCAATCCCAAACATAAGCAATACAGTGGGTTTAGAGTATGAAAGCACACTGTAATCCTCTGATTAAAACACAGGGGAAGAACCCATGGTCTTTTCAGTAAACGCTTATGTTAAGAAACTGCCTTCTGAAGGTACATCACCATCCTTAAAAACATTTTCTGCTTTAAAGCAACTACCCAGGCAAGTACCTAACATCCCATACAAAGAACACTTAAACATTTGGTTGTACAATTGTTTCAAAGTGAAAAACTTGAGACCATAGCCTGCCTTTAACTTTCTTTCATGTGCATACTGTTGGGGGTCTGCAGTGAGGGAAGAACACCAAAGACATCTCAGGACACCTTACTATCGAAGTTAAACAAGTGCTTTGTGTTTTTATCCCTGCAAGTTAATGATTTCCCACAGTATTTATTGTACGGAATTCTCAAGTAGTTTTCCTCATAAACTATTCCAGAATATCTATCAATGGCATCTGAGTGTTTCCTAAAAAGTAAGAAAGTCTTACCTCAAAGCTCTGATCTTATTTGGCTAGATAGAGGTGCCCATTAATGCTGGCTGCCATTATATGCAGCAGCCGTCAAAAATTTTAGTTTAAAATATTTAAATGAAAAAAATGCAGCTCTGATTGCACTGAAAAATTTAATGAATCTCTGCTACTTCCATTCTTAGCTCATTTAGATTTTTCAATGTTTTCGACACAGAACATTTTAAAAAATCAGAAACATCTGAGGTTGAACAAAAGGCTTGCCTTTTTAAAAAAACTTGTTAATTACTTGCACTGTAATAATTCTATGTCTACTTTCAGCACCCTGATCCAGCTTTGCTCTTACAGCTCATCTTGTGAGTGCTCAACGTGTCAGCAAGTCAGGTCTTAGGTACCTCAGCTTGTTCACCCACAAAACACATAGGTACCGGCTACATGTCAAATAGTCGTTTACAAAGCCTTATGAAAAAAACTCTTGCCTGAAGTTGAGGCAGAAACAAATTCCTCCTCTTTGCTCCTTTACTCACTTGCCTCAGTTACCACAGCCTCCAACATAGAAAAGAAATGAAACCAGCAATCTCATCCTGAGCTCCCCCCTCTCCACGCTGTCACAACTGAGCACTGCCGTTTGACAGGGCAGCTTTATCTGGGAAAAAGCACCTAACACTGTAATTAAAGACGGAAATGTCTTCAGGCATTGGGTGGGGACTGAATTCAAGTTTGCAGGGCAAACTTCCAGGATTTTCCTAAATTTTGCCTGCTTGACTTCCCAAATGTTTTAATAATTTTTGGCACAGAAGTTGTAAAACTACATGTCGTAAGTGAGATTCTTCCTCTGAGGCTTTGGCAACAAAGCACGTTTGCAGGATGGAGCTTAAGACAGTTGCTGCCAGTATGAGAAGGCTGGAGTCTAGAAGATTTAGGTTACTGCATGGCTACAGCAAGTAAGGTGAGACGTTCACATAGGAGAGAGGAAAGAGACGTGCAACCACGCATTGGCTTTGAGGATGGCTTGACGAAAGAACAAAGCTCTTTTCTACCTCACCTCTGTCGTGCAGGGGGAACAGACAGGCGCATCAACAAGGTTCAGGGAGCACGTTACTGCAGGGGAGGCAGGCAGTCACTGAAAACAACCTTCGGGGCGTGTGCTCCAACATCCACCGCCGCCATGCTACAAAGGCTCAGGCTCCGACAGGAACATTCGGGCTCATGTTTTGGGTGCAGTACCAGCGCTCCTGCTTGACAGCACACAGGAAGAAGAACTGGTACATCATGTCAAATAAAGAGGAACATAATGGGATACAGAAGATTTTCAAAGGACTGCAAGAATTTTATTACTGGAGAGTCATTGCCCTGTATGTGACAACAACCGTAGGGAGAGCGAAAGCAGAATAGCAGGTGTATTGCCGTTCTGGGCATTCAGACGTGGAGGTTTTAACAAACTCAAGTAAAAGCCAGATTTCTGGCTTGCACATTACCTTCTGACTATGTCTTAGTCCTGTACTCATACACCTATGATCTGAACTGCACAGATACCAATATCTTACAAGCTAAAAGCTAAGGAGCCTCATAAAAAAACACTGTGATTCCAGACTTAAGGATTAGGTCAGGCACATCACCTTTTAAGTCAGAGTCTTTGAGGAAAGAGAGAACACGTCTGCCTACCAAATATATTCTGCAGCATGATAAAGCAAATCAGACTTGAGAAGAGGCTGTATCCTTGGTTTGAAAGACAATATTCTTCAGCAGAAGACAGTTTGGTGTTACCTGAAAAAAAATATGGGTAGCAAGTGGCTTAGATGATGCGAAAATTGGAAAAAGAAAACTCTTTCAGTCTTAATAGTTTACTTTACCTGGTTTCATTATTTGCATTTAGCCCAATACCTTAAGGAAACAAGTCTTACACAATCACCCTTCAGACACGCAGGCAAGAATGCACTTCTTCCCCCAAAGCTTTTAAAGCCATTTGACACGAGTTTTAGGTAAAAACCAGCAGCTGTTAGAAACAAAGAAAACCTTATTGCAGGCTCTTACTAGATACTGGAGAGCACAGAAAAAACCCAACAACTTAGCAATATTCAAATATGAAAAAATACTCAGCCAGCGCTCACATCTTATGAGATACTCAGGCATCATTAGTTCTGATGCTTCCAGAACTACTTGTTTCAAGGGGAGCTACTTCAAATTGGGGAAACAGATAGAAAGAATTTTAAATTAAAATATCTTCTTTCACTTCCCTATAGTACTTACTGTGTACTGGAAAAGGTTGACATTTCAAATTTATACAGCACAACCCAGCTGACAGTGATGAGGGCAAGTCTTACTGACTACACGGTGTGTATATGCCTTGACCTGTATAGTTTCACGCCGGAGAGAATGACTACTGCACAAAGCTTGACTTCATCTGTAATGTGGATCACAGCAATATACCTGCATACACAGGGGAAACCCACTCGCTCAATAATATCCAACAGAAAAAGCACCACATCCTACGTAAGCAGTTCCAGCTACGGAGAGCTGTCACACCCTTCGAAGCACAAATAATTAGCCTTTGGAGCATTCTGCCAATACACCGGTTTTCAGGCTTTCTAATTTTGTCTTCCAAATTGCTAGAGTGTTTTGTTTGCCACTTTTCTTCAAGGTGTTAAAGAGTATTCTCACATCTCAGCATAAACCCAGGTAGTAAACACTGAATCATACTTCAATGGATAACTGTTTTGAAACACTGCAAACTGCATGGGTGACAAAACCAAAACTAGAAGTATATTTACAGTTCCTGTAAGAGCCCACATACTTATTATTAAAATATATTTCTTGTTATGTACTTATATTATGAATCAAACATGTTGAGTATGCAAGTAAGAAAATGGTGCAGCCAATGTGCCACTCTTTCAGAGCAACAGAATTCTCAGCTCTGATCACACATACAAACAGGTTTTATAATTAAAATGTTGTGCAGAAATGGAAAAAAACAAACAAAACAGAAGGAACCATACCCTGCACATCATGCTTCAGTTTGTTCCAAAATACAGTACCACTTAAAGCAACACTTGCTTGCTTATCTGTGATGATATTAACATAAATTTAAATCGATGTCTTAACTAATACGCAACTTAATAACCACATCAAGAATATTCTACTACCGTTGAAACTGCGATACAGCGTGCAGTTAAAAATCTCCAAAACCAGAACTTGTAGCGGGCCCGCTGAAGCCAAGAGTTACTTGCTTCAGTGGATGTTGACTAAGCCAATCCACTTTCAAACCTGAAGGGATGACAGCTCTGGTAAAGGAACAGACTGTTCAAAAATGTCCACTGGGCAGCCAGTGTAAGTCGAAGTTAAACTCAGAGGGAACTTTGAACCTGTTATCCTTGTGTTCCAAAAGGATAAGTGTTCTGTTTTTCACTTTCATTTAAGGTGTTTCAGTGTAAACCCAGGTAGTAAAAACATGCAGTTCAAAATAGCTCCACACTCCTGCCTCCTACTAATTCGTAAAGCAAGCTTTTTTTCCACTAGCAAGTCTTTTAAAGGTATTGACCATGATTTACTTGCTGTAGTTTGTATCTCCACATACATGAAAAAATGTATGTGCACACATACATATAGATGTACCACTCATACATACACACACACAAAATTATGTATATTTATGTATGTAACAAGATATGGAGCATATTTTCTCCATCACAGACAAATCTTTAAAGAGGACTGAATATTAGGAAAACTTTTGTGTCTCAAAATAAACTAAAAAATAGGCGTTCTCATTAGATATAGACAGAATTTCTTAACCGCATTTCCTCTTTTACATATAAAAGGTATATATTTAGGTAAGATGATCTCTTCAGATCAGCAGGAGGAAAAGTAGTTTTTTTCAGGATATTAAAGATATCTTTCTTAACATCGCTCCAGAAGAAATCCTCCCAAGCCATGCAGAAGAAATATATGTGTTTGTAGCGATGAATTTGAAAGTAACAAAAATGAGTGCAGAAACAAAAATCTCCTGGAATTTATTCCACTTTTAAGGAAACAACAACAATTCCAAAACGTCCTTTACAGAAGAAACTGGAGTTTACGAAAGTGCAGTCTGCATCATAAATGTCCTCATTAGATATAGATATTATTGTGAGTTTCATTGGTTGTCAGTAGCTTCTTCAAAATCTTTGTGCTCTCAGACACATCCTAGGAAAAGGAAGAGATGATCAGCATTAGCTACATTGCTGGTAACAAAACAAAAAAGCCTGGCTGTCCTCTATTCCAATTTTTATTATTCTGAATATCAGCTTGATCAAAATGTCAGCTGTGAGCAAAACTCAGGTGTTCTGAATGAAGGTATCCAGAGATTTGCTAAAAGGTTCCAAATGAACTTGCACTTCAACCACAGAATGGAATTTGTTAATTTGCATTCCTCCTCGCTTGCATATGAGAGGAAAAGCCTGCATATTTGCTGCTGTTTTCCTTCAGAGTTTAAACATTTACATACTAATCTGTTAGACTTATTTAGCAGACCAGTATAAGCTGTAATGAAAACTAACTCACAATTCCCACATTTAAAGCTGAAATAAATACTTTAGTACACACAAACCTCTTCTGTCATTTAAACGTAGTTCAGCTGGCAAAACTGAGAGTGTTTTGAACCAACTATACTTCAATTAAAAACATTTCATAAAGAAGCAAAACATTCACTTCAGTAGCTATAATGCCATGATTTCAGAGCTGCTCGATTAGTGCAAAACTGTTAAGAATCATCTTTAGAAATTCAGTCACTTAATTCCAGAAAGAATTTATAGGTCAAAATAAATTTCTTAAGAAGCTTGCATGTATTGCACAACACAGGCAGATACAGCTTGCATATGCATGTAGAATGTTAAAAAAACCCCAAATGTTTCAACACAAGACATCTCTGAAGAGAACTGCAGCTTAAATAATCACAAGAAATTACTCCCTCCTATACTAATACCACAACAAGAGCCTGAAAAGTCAAAATGAAGTTTTGAGGGAAGCTGTAGATTCATTATTTCTAAGCAACTTATAAACAGACGTAAATAGTTACAGCAGGTACTACAACAGAAATCATTGTCCTCTGCCAATAAAGCCTGTACATTTCTGTACATTACATACATTCCACCTTTTCAGGTGGAATCCTCAAAGATGCAATGAAAGACAGACCAAAATAGCCCAAAGCTCCTGTTAAGCTTTAAATATGAAATTTTACCTTGACTAAACTCTTCAGGATTTTAGAAGAAAGCAGAGGCTTGAACGCTTCAATTGTAACCGTATCCAGTTTGATGACATCAGTGTAGCACTGATATAACACTGCAGGAATCTGCCATACTTGACAGTAACTCAAAACTAAATACAAGTCAAAAGAAAATGTGTGTTACATTCAGCAGGGAACGAATCTCAGTTCTGTGTATAAAATCATGTTTCTTCTGTCCAGAACTTCAAAAGCATAAGTTTATATAAAACTACTCAGGATCCTGACTGCTAGACCAGCCTTTCCTCATTCCTCAGGTACAAGAAAATTAAATACCAAAAATTAGTCAAATGCAGTTGGTATTTCTTCCTGGCAAATACCTTAACTGGAAACTGTATATTATTGGTAAACAAAAATAATATGAGCCTCTGTAAAAAACCCCCAATAAACAAAAAAACCCCACAGGGACCCCCAAAACAACCAAACATAAAAACTCAAAACAAAGTACAAACAAGATAAACTTTTTCTAGAAAAATCATCCACTTTTAGCTCCTGCCAGACAACATTTTCCTCATGATGCTACCATTAGTTTGGTATTCTGTAATGAAAAGCCTCGGGTTTTTATTACATTACATAATAAAAGTCAATCTAACTTCTACATGAGGTTGATCAGTAGCGCTATGAAACTTCCTTTACCTGTAATATGGAGAAATGACTTTATGAGCCTCAGTTTGGATGCTCAGATGAAAATAACTCTTAATACAACAGAGTTAGCATATAGGTAAAACACCCCAGAACACCCAATATACAACACACTTTGTGAGGCTATACTGAGGAATTTGCTAGTACTAATGTCCCGCACATCAGGGGTAAAAGGATTTGTGGGTAGTTTTGAAATTTGTCCGTATTTCGCAAGGCAATATGTAAGATGTCAAAGTGTTAGGAATTCATTTTCAAAAAGCTAACTTCTTCGCCAGTGCACACAATTAAATAAAAATTCTAATTGCAATGGGATGCTCCTCAAAATAAATTTTGTGTTGCCACCAGCGGCCTTGTAAATAATTGGAATTGCAAAATACCAGCAGCAGGAAGATCTCGAACAATGTTAGGTTGTTCCAGCAGTGGGCAGCAGACCTGCTCTTTGAATTCTTTCGTCTTCAAGGCTTTCAGAAATGGAGATGGAAGTGTTAAAGTGGATTCCTGAGTTTTATAATCAGCTACAGGACACGTTGAAAGAATGGTTACTTGCAAGCCTTGCTTCTGCATACAGCCAAAAACCTGAAATAAAGATGTTAATACATAAGGAAAATTAATCTTCTCACAATAACAGCGTAAAACCACAGATTTCAATTTCAGTGCAGATGACAAATGACAGTTTAATTCAGGTTTACAGGACTAACTGAAATTTGAATCACAACCTTCAGGTAGAAATTTCACATGCATTGCTCTTGGGCTGGAGATATTAAAAAAAACACCAAAAGAAGAGCTAACATATTTACCAAGTCTATTGATTTTCTTGAGAGGCTTTAGGTTTTCAGCACTTTCTGTTCACCTGCAAGTGTATTAAGACTTACTATTTTACTAATGGTGACTGTAGAAAGAAGAAGGACTCCAAATAAAACCAGGCTGCTTATCACAGGAAGGCAGCTTGCTACGCTGCAAGACGTTTGAAATTGAAATCATGCTCCCCAGATGCTCTACAGTACTTAAAGAGAGTCTTCATTTTAAATACTCAGATTTTATTTGTTGTATTCAAGCTGAATTGAGAACCTTAATTTTTCCACAGTTTTCCTCAAATTCAAAGAAACAAGTTTCAAAAACATTGTACAAAATATACTTTTGGATCTATTGCATGCCGCCACAAAACACCAACATGCTGCACGGCCTTCCATTGTTTCTAAAGAATTTATGTCAAAATGAGGAGAAGCATGATAAACCTGCACCCTCCCTTTGCACTGTCCTCTTCAGATTTATGATCAATAAGGAAATAGGGAATTTGGTAAACATTACAGAAACTCGCCTGTTTCTGTATATGGTACCAATCTCAGAAGGAAACCTGACTGTTCCCTCATATCAGCGTGTTACCACCGTAATACAAAACTGACATAACTTTTCAGAAGCACACATATTTTCAATTTACAGTATATTTACTTTGTTGGAAATGCCGGCTGGTGTGCATTACTGTGAAACTTTAGTCTGTATGTTCTCATCTTGTCAGCAATCACTTACTGAGAAAACACATACAGAAGTAAAAATCTGACTCATGGGAGACTGCAAAGATACTCAGTGAATCAGAATTTATGAAGCATACAGAACAGGTCTGTAACTCACACTAAAAGCAGAAGATTACCAGCACATCATTTCTGCTGTACATTTAAAAATACCAATAACCATGAAGTCTAAAAATACTCAAGAACGCTGACTTGGTTAAACTGTACACTCCTACTGTTCATGAACACCCGCACTGAAAATAACACGTGCACAAGCAGCTGGAAAAACACAAATAGAGAAGACAGCAAAACCACACCCATCTTGCTTTTGTAATCCCAGTTTAAACGACGTCCAAGAATGCATGGAATACAGCAAAACCATAATGCTTTAGGTCTTAGGGTTTCTAAGCTTTGAAGTGAACCATTACCCCCCACCAAAATGAATTAAACTCTTCAACAAGCCATGAAACTACTAAAGGCTAGTTTTCCACAAACTTGGGTCTGAAATCCCTGTATCAGTCTGTGAAGTTACCCCGGTTTTCCACCCTCCTTCCCTTCCTGTAATCTCTCTGGCTCCCTCACACTGAGATGCTCGTATAGTTCTCCCTCACAACCAAGCAACCCTTTCTCATGCAGTACCTGGGCCAGCTGGCAGGCTAGACTGAGCAGGTATCACTCAGCCCAGGCTGAGGACTTGCTCTCAGCAGACACACTGCTTTTTATCTCACTCCTTGGATCTCTAGCCACAGCCTTACACAACTTCAGCGTAACATAATAGCTTTAGAATCTCTGCTTGTTCATCAGATTGGTAGAGATTTAAAGGAAGGCAGGTTAGCAGACAGATAGCAAGACAAAATAAGCCATACTTCCTCGACGCTAAGCAGTGACACAAATCCATAAAGAAAATCAAGAGCCAGAATACCCTCCTCACAGTTTTATCTTATTAAAATCAACATTCTGATATTTGTAGGGACCTGAATGACCCAGCAGCATTCATGTACCTGAACGATGCTCGGTTAAAGCACCTAGCATACTACCTCTATGAACAAATGGGACAGACACTGCTTTGGAGGCACCTTCCTTTAGAGTTCCTCCTTGTGAAAGGAACAGAACACACCCATTAGTAAAGGTACTACGGGTTTCATAACAGGTTTGTCTGGTGATACAACCATACAAATGCAGTTATGCTGTTATTTTTAAGGAAGGATTCTCCCAGAGCTGAAATAAGCCATAGAAAATTTAAGTGAAAGAGGAAAATGGTTTGGAAAGCAGTTAAGGGCAATAAAACAGAAACTGTCCAAAAGAGGTAATTACACGAAGTTGGTAAGTTGCAGCAGATACAACTGGCAGCATCTAGAAAGGAATTTCAACAGAATCTGCAGATAGTAAATTTGTTCATTTGTTGCATAATTCAGAAAAGAAAGCCACAGGGGAAACAGCTATTTACAATGCTGTCATGTTTACAGTATCAGAGAGGAAGAGGCACTTGCACTAAGTTGAAGATCCCCACCCCTATGATTTCATTGTTCAGTTTGTTGTCTTGCCAGTTTTACCTTGTCAAGCCACTGGAACTGTTGATCCTCAGCAACGTAACAACTACACTGGCACAACAAAACCTAAAAAAAAAAAGATTGTGTAAGCAAGTGGTTTAAAGAGCACAACAGCTCATAATCATGTGTAAAGATGACGTGACTGCAACCAACAATTTGTTCAGTTTTCTTGGGCTTCTGCAGCTGTATTTCAATAAGAATTTTTCTTTCCCAGCTGAGGTGAAACAAGCAGGCTGTTATACATCATCTTTGTACTGAACTTCACATGCCAGAACTTCAACTAGTTTTAGTAACAACCCTTCAGATTTTTTGAGATTAATCCAGAATACTGCAGCCTTAATGCTTTGTTTGCCCTAGGCAGGGTAGGGGGTGGATGAAGGTTGCTCTCTTTTTCAGAAAAGCTAAAATATAGAGGAATTCGCGCATAAGTCACTTACTGTGGGATCTGATATTAATCGGTAGAACAAACAGAAAGAATCTGTTGGGAGGACATTTGTTGTGTTGGATGTTCGACACCACTCATTCCACAGCTTCACAACTCCAACTACTTCCCAACAAACAGAATCCAGAATAAAAGAAGACAGGAAAGCTGAAAAAAACAATCAATACTGTTAATTTATAAATAATATAATCACTGTGAGAGGAGGGGTTAAGGGAATCTTAGCAGTTAAGTAGTAGATAAGGTTTGAAATCTTGTTAGCTATTGCGTAAAGTAACTAAAGCAGGAGATATGTAGTTCCTTACAAAGACAGTTCCTGATAAACTGACAGGAGTGAGAACACTTGTAGCTCCTCACAAGGACGGTCCCTGATAAGAACCAGGAGAGTGCCTCAAGAACCGGCTGAAACTGACCTTGTGGTTTGGACGAAAACCAAAGAACAATTGAGTCTGCGTAAGAACAAGGGGTTACTAGTGGTGACGAAGAGGAGCCACGGACCTTCATCCTCACGACCCTCAGCGACCACCACCAGAAGGCACTGCGCAAGCGCAGATGGGAGGAATTCATGGAAATAACGTCTGGGAACTCATTTCAATACGAAGCGGGAACAGATCATGCATATGTATAGGCATATTGCGAAACTTTATGTATATGCAACACTTTGCTGTATATATTTGAAGTAAGTGCCGCGTTGGGGCGCGCACGGTTTTTGGTGAGACTACCCCCCCGTGCTGCCCAGCGCTGAATAAACATACCTACTTTACAATCTTACAGATTGTGGAGTCTGTTTTCCGCACGTCAACTGTTCTACAAATAAATACCCAAACTGAATTAATTATTTCTTTGAAATCCCAAGTTAAAAAAAAAATGTAGTAACTTATTTTTATCAACATACATTTATTGACCAAACCTGGCAAAAAACCAAGAATGTCAGTAACCTCACCACATCAAGACTCTAAAAGACAAAGAGCAGTTCTACATATAGACATCCCTAACATGAAAAACATGTATTATTAGGAATTATACCATTACGGTCAACTTTGAATCCTTTAGCATACACTAAGGATGTAAATATTAAGTCTCTAACACTTCTTGACATACCAAACATAACATTTTCTAAACATAAATACAATTCAAATATAAAATTTCTAAAACAATAAATAAGTAAATAAATAAAAAAATGACTGAACCAGCAAGGCAGAACAATTACACTGGCTCAAGAGGAAGCAGAGACAAGAGTATGCATGACTTAGTCGCAAAAAAAGATCCTAAATCAAATGTTCATACATAAATTCCTGTCAAGAGTTACTGTTAAACAGCAGACAGATCTAAAGTATCTGTAACTATTTTCCAAGGAAAAACCTGAACAAAGAAAAATTTAGCAAAGTTAACTTAAATATCATCTAAATGTCATCATTTAGATGTGACCTAAACATAAGAAAAACTTAAAACTTCTCTATATTCCCAGGGAAAGACCTATTAAACAACTCAAGAACTTGGTAAGTGTGTGTGGGAAGGGGAGAGGGTGTTTCAAGACTCTAGGCCTAACAAATAAATAACCACCAAACAAAAAGAGAGCATTTTCAACAAGTGGGGAATTAGAATGTGAAAAGGGACAGACTGATGAAGAAAACATTTAAACAAACAACAACAAAATCACCGTTCATTAGAAATTAATGCAATTACAGCTTATTGATCCATAATTTTACGTCTCTGACAGATCCCTATTTCAAAACACCTGACTGCACTTGCTATTATTAGAAGGAAACTTTTGCCAATTAACAAGCAATCCAGGAGAGTTAGATAAAGGAAAAGGGGGGTTGTCCCAACTAAAACCTCAAACCAAAACATACTACGCTTCTGCCCTTCAATCGAAAACATGTAATTTTACCATGACCTGACAGAAGGAATAAGCAGCTGTAACAAGAACTACGTTTTATATGTACAGAGTAACTTCGGTTTCCTCTGGACAGCTCAGCTGTCCCTAAATGCAGTACTAGACACCCTGAAGGGCCATTCTTACAGCAGGGACCAACGTTAAAACAGAGTATGGCAAAGGGAGTGTGCTGGCACGCTTACGTTTTCTTCCAAACTCCTGCTTTCTCAAATTTAGCTAACAGCAAGCAAACAACAGCATTTTAGAGTCTCAGACGGTTTGTTTTTGCAGCACCTACCTGCAGCGTTATGTCCTATCGCTACTATAAATTTAGAGCACACGAACAGCTCGTCGGCAAAGCTTTCCGCAGACGCGCCCGACTTCAAGGTCCAGAGAACGTCGATCTCCCTGGCAAAAGAGGCGGAGGAGAGAGAAGTGGAGCAGCGCGGCCCAGGCCCCGACTCGGCCGCCCCTGGGGCTCCGTCGCGCGG